TATATATAAGAGGACACTGGTAAGTTATTCTTCTTTTGCGTTTAGCTTGAAAACGTTTTTTAATTTTTGCTACAAGCTGACAATTCCTTCAAAATGCATTTATTATCACGTACTACATTACTTATGTAAGTTAAAACTTGCAAGGAGTATGATACAAAAAAATTTTAAAACAAATCGTCATACACAGCTATAATAACTAATTTCCTAATAATAATCAACATTTTAGACAATAACATTTGGTACGACAAGTATTCTCAACCACTTGAAGCGGTCGAACGTATTGCTCAAACTGACGAAGCAGGTATTTCAGCACTCATTGGTAAATATTTTAATATACGTTAAAAATGTGCTAATATGAACATGGTATACAATTTTAACTAGAAGTTTTTACAGATATCAGCCATTAAGCTATACAACAATCCATTCCAGTGCTTTCTTCTAATGTACTCATAACAGATTCATGTGTGGTATCGAATGATGCTAGAACTGAAGGTAGTAAATGTCGCAATTGAATCAAGTAAACTAAGAAAAAAAAGGTTAATGATACAGAAAAAAAAACACTACCAATTTATGGGCTTAAAGCTTTCTCATACACATATATAAATAATCAAATTTTTCATACTGTATCAACCTTTGATTAATAACTTCTTAATTTGAAAAAAAAAAAAATAAATAATAATAATAATAAGAACAATTATAATGAGAACAATTTTACACATCGACAAATCCAATACATTCTTTCCCCGCTATGATACGAATCTAGTTAAATAGATTAACAAACAATAATTAGGTGGTGTATAAAAATAAAATATACTTTTTCACCGCATCAATAGCAAAAAGACTAATTTTTTAACACTGAAAGTCGTTATAACCTTAATAAATTAGTTTAGTTCAAACATTTTTAACCAAGACATTTTTTTTTTAGTAGAGACCGCATTGCCAGAAGCTGTAACATTCAAGGGGAGAAAAATAATTCAAAGATCGATAAAACAGAAAAGATTGAAAACAAACGTTACTCGAAAAAAGCTGACAAACAGTAGTAACTGGATTGATAATAAGGCTAAGACTGTTAGAGCTGAAGGAAAGGCTGGTATTGGAAGAAATGATTTTATTGAGGCTAAGACTATGAAGCTGGGATGCTCCAACAAGTGTCCTTCAAAATGCACTGAAAGAATATTGGACGTTGAACGAGAACAAGCTTTCACAGAGTATTATGGCCTGAAAGACAAGGCCAAACAGTGGCAATGTAATTGGGTTTCTCTAAAACGTAAGAGGAAACCTGACGAAGAGTCCATCGAGCTCGCAGTTATCTTCAATAAGTCATTATATGAGAAATATTTTCACAACTTTACCTTGCCCACATTGAATGGACAAATACCTGTTTGCCAGACGATGTTTCTATACACCTTGGGTATGTTTACACTTGTATTATAAATTTGATCCATGAATATGAATGTATTAAAAATTTGTTCTACCTATCGAGCTCAAAGTAATTACAATGCCTGGTTATGGCCAAAAATATTTTCAGCCTCGTTTCCGGCTCCATTTTTTTTTTTAATTTTGATTTTAATTTTTTTT